TGTGTGTGTGTGTGTGTGTGTGTGTGTGTGTTTTGAGTTTACCACAACAGCCCCTATCCCACCCAGATGAGTAGATCCAAAATCGAAGCAGCTTTAATCCTATTGCAGACAATGAAGGCCCTTGAGTTGAGACAATACAACAATGAAACAGTTTCACCTCTTAGCAAGAAGCATGGAGTACAATAGAAGTGTTTACATCCCTTTTCTTAATTGTGTTCACTTTTGCTTTCTTTGGGCTACCCCTTTCATTTGTTCTTGCCGCGCCCCTTTTACTGTGCCTCTCATGTACATTGTACAAGGCTCGCCATGTTGATCGTGGTTGTGTGTGTGTGTGTGTGTGTGTGTTCCTGTGTGTGTGTGTGAATGTGTGACCAGGGGCCATTGGGAAACCTTGATGTTGTGCTCAATTACGGCCTTCTGGACAGCATTGTTCCTCCTTCGAAAATTCACAACAGTTTTCAACGCGTTCCAGGAGATGTCTCAGCAAACCCCTTTCCGCTGAAGGGCCACTATGATTTCGCTTACTCAACCTGCCATGAGAATCATGTGGGACATGGTGAGGGCAGAGGGCCTCGCCAGGAGTCAGCAATGTCCGCCAAAGATGAAATGATACTTCTCCGTCAGTTCACTCTTGTTAGACCGGATCCATTTGCTCAGACAACCGCAAGGGGGCTGTCATATGGTGACAACACGCTTCTCCGTCCAGGGCGCAATGATTCCAAAATCTATCCCAAGGGAGGGATGCTAGTTGAACAGATCAGGCTGACGCTCCCACAGAGACATTCTGCAGCAGGCACAAAGGAACCTGTTCGCTCGTTGTGGATTTTGAAGCCCAATCATGCTCCGCGAGGGGGTTACGTATATGTGGCTGGCGCATATGTTGATCCGACAGCCTACTTTCCGTTCCTCTTCCAGGTAGCGGCACAAGGGTACCTGGTGGCCCTTCCACAGATGGAACGCCGTCTTTCTCTGGACCCTATGCTCGCCGATCAGGTTCTTGCCTTTGACCATCCGATTCTTCGCACCGTACCCCACAACAAGTGGGCCATTGGTGGTCATTCTTTGGGTGGGTATTGCGCATTCAGTTATGCAAGCCTTCCCCAACGCCACAACATCGTAGCTGTGGTTACACATTCAGGTCTGTTCACCCTTCCATTCGGTCTCCTTCCATCGACTGTGAATCTAAGTCAGTCATCTCTGCCAGTTTGCCAAATTTACGGCTCTCTTGATGGTGTGGTTCTAGGTGATCCAGAATATTTCCGATACAGTGCCAACGACCCTCCTCCAAGAGGCCGTGGGCTAATTGCGAATTTAACTGCAACGAGGTTCATTCGCATGGAAGGGGCAAATCATCAACAAGTGGGAGAGTACGGGTCCCAGACCAACGATATCATTGCAACAATTGGGCACGTTGAGCAAGAGACTACTTATGCACAGCTGACAGTCGACTGCCTGAACGAGGCAATGGGTTACACGGCCAGTAAGCATGCATGAATTTCCACATGGCTAGGCTATCAGGCACGCCCCAGTAGGCTGCATGGCCAGGTGAGCATGGGCCACGCATGAGGGAGGACTGATGCATGGCCAGTACAAGTCCGAGGCAATGCAAAGTCCGAAGATCACCATCAGGAGGGAGAGATACAATGTGACACGGTGGAAGACTCAAATCAGATACGACTTAGCTGACCCTGACAAGCCTCAAACAATATGTCTCAGATCTTGAGTCAGGGATCCTGGCTCCCGATGACATTGTTTTTTTTTTTTTTGTTCTATCTTTTGAGGGTTAGGACGCCTGGGTACAACGCCTAGGTATTTAAAGGAACTACCAAATAGCAAGNTGGTGGCGAGACACAAGGTGGGACTTCGTGATGCAATTTGAGAGAGGCGACAGTGAAGGGCACCTACAACTTGAATCTGGACTTCAGGGAAGACAAGGGGTGACCTTAGGGCTCCCCTCAAGTAGGCGAGCTTGAGGGTGGCAGCCATATCCGCACCTACGGACTGCAAGTTGTTGCTTTGATCTTCAATATTGACGGGGGATCCGGCTTTGTAGTTTGGGGTAGATGTTGACCCTCCTAGATGATAGGACACTAGTGTAGAGGATGCTAATTGGGTCAGGAGGACTGTGTGAGAGGGGGGTGAGTTCTTTTCATCTCAAGAGCCCGGTCACTCAGGTAAGTGTCGTGCCACCAGGGTGCCCATGTGTGTGAGCATGGAATTGACTGCCTGTTGGGGTTCTCTGGGTTCTTCTTCCATCCTCCATAGTCTTGGTTGTGTGTGAGGTGTGTGAACTGCCTACTCACCTGATGAGTGAATGAATGGAGTATCTTGTTTGCTATGTGATATCTCTCTACAGTGCTTTGTTTATTTCATTCTGAACGGCGGTAGTCTACAGGTTCTGTCTCTTATACACATCTAGATGTGTATAAGAGACAGCTCTTTGTGTGTGTTTTTTTTACAGTTTATTTGCGTCTTTAATTTTTTTTTTTTTTTTTTTTTTTTTGAGCCCTTGTGTAAGCCCTCTATCCTGGCGGTGGTAAGAGAACTGTCAGAATTGAGGGCTTATCTGCCGGGCTGCTCCATCTATTGGTGGGGAGCGGCGCCTGCTGGAAACCGGGTCCAGCGGCGGACCAGCGTCCCATTGATACATCTTTTTTTAATGAGAATCAGGCTCAGCGTCCCTTGGAAATACATGGATGAAAAATGAGAAGACCATGGTCATGCCGCAATCCGAGAAAGACCACATTGCTTGAAACCAGGTCCAGCGTCCTGCCCCAGGCTAAACTTTTATTACCTCTCCTGACATGTGGCCTGGCTCAGGAAGTTGGCAGGAGCCACTGGGGGGCACCAATGGGGTCCTTCTTCCATCTCCTCGCCTGGCCCCAAATTCTCACTGTGCTCTCCTCGTATATGAGCTGGGAACTGGGCCCAGCGTTCTTTTTGAGGCTTCATTGTCGTTTCTCTTTTTGAGAAATCCTTCAGAATTCCAGGGAGATGCTCGGCTTCACTGTAGATGGAGCAGATCAGGTAAATGGGCCAGATGACCCAGATGAACCAGGTAGCGGCTGGGTACTTAGGTAACGTCCCACAGACTTTCCTCCAGGGACAGCGGATGGGGGGGGGAAGGGGTCAGCGAATTCCTGGGCTGGTCATAACGGTTCCCTAGGATCGACCTTTGTCCACTCATGAAAATGCAGCTGGTAATCCCTTTCAATCTCTGCCCGTCGCCCCCCTTGCGGTCCCATCTCCTCCTCCTGTTGATGTTCCCGTTGGTGTTCCTGTTGCTGGACCTGTTGCTGTTCTTGCCCATCTCCTGCCCAGCTCACCTTTGCCACCCAGCCCTCCCTCTTCCCTCCCAACCAGTCCTCGCAGACCTGAAAGATGATTCTATTGATATCGCCCCTGGTGTGTACTTGGTTCAACTTTTCCTTAGCGGCCCGCCACAGGGCTGTAATCTCATACTGTACAAGTAGCCGTAGTTGCTCCGTGACCTCCCCATCTTCCACCCTCGCTCCCTCTATTTTCAGAATGCACCTTCTCCACCATATTACCCTCAGGGCGGTGCGTCTACCCAGGCAAAACATGTTCTCCTCGAATGTGTTTCCTCGAATCTGGGGGTAATGTCCCAGGAGTATGACCCTCCAGTCCCATGGCCATAATGAGCCCGACATCACCTCCATAATAAAACAGCCATGGGGCACTGAAGGAAAATGTGCTCTATCGTCTCGGGGCGTTTTTTTCCGGGGTAGCACTGGAGGCATCTATGGCACCACGACAGTGTCCGACCCGCTGCTCCAAATGTGTGTGCTCTATCAACCAATCGTTGGTCGGCACACCGGTACGCATTTTGCCACTGCAGGGCATAATTTTTTGTCGGTCTCTTTCCACACTCTCCGAACCACCTTATGGGCTTGAGCAGGCTACGGTCTACGTTGAGATGACGATGTCATCTGTCTACTACGTCTCGGAGCCTGTGTTTAGATCTGAGCATTCGGTATACCGACTTAGTTTTTAAATTGGCAAGCGCTATCGTCTTCGCTTTCCCCCTCTTCTCGAGTTTGTTGGGTCTTTCCGTAACCAGCGCCACTCGTTGGGATCGAAGGGGAGGTCTTCAATCGGGGTCATTGGCCGGTAAGCCCTCCAACCCCTCCCCTCGTCAATCACTTTGACATGATAGACTTCCTTTTTCTCCTTCCAAATGAAAGGTTGTCGGGTCCCTCGTAGACGACCGTTTTCTTGGACGGAAAAACCTTCGATCAGCACTTGGGTTTGGTCTACCAGGTGCACATGCCCTATTTGTTTTCCATGGCCAGGCAGTCCTACCCAATCCCCTTCTTCCTGGACATAAAAACCTTCGATCAGCACTTGCGTTTGGTCTACCAGGTGCACATGCCCTACTTGTTTTCCCTAGTCAGGCAGTCCTACCCAATCCCCTTCTTCCAAGAGAGGACCCTTCCGAAGGATGATATACCAATGGAGGGGGAAATTATCAATGAGCTCGTCCAGTGCAGACTCTGTAAAGTGGCAATAATGCAACCATCTACACATTCTTTCTACACTTTTCCATTCGCTCGCGGCTGTGTCCCAAAGGTCTCCCACCCTCAGGGCCCCGCGTTTCACCCAACCCTTCCATGGAGGGTCCGTTCCACACCTCTCTTCTTCTTCTTCTTCTTCTTCTTCTTCTTCTTCTTCTTCTCTCTCTCTCTGGTCAGTCATCCCTCCCTCCCTCCCTCCCTCTCGCCCTCCCTCCCTCCATCCATCCATCTCTCTCTCTCTCTCTCTCTCTCTCTCTCTCTCTCTCTCTCTCTCTCTCTCTCTCTCTCCTCTCTCTGTTTGATGATATATATATTTATAATATTGATATATAAATATAAATTATGCATATAATATTATGATTTAATTCATTATTTTAATTCATCTTTTTTATTTCATTTCTTTTCTTTTTTTAAGCAAGGCAGCGTCATTAGGGGGGGTGATAAGAGCATCCTCCCCTAGTGCGTGGTCCGTTTGCTCCAGTCTATTAGTGGGGAGCTTCACCTGCTGGAAAACGGGTCCAGCGTCCCAAATGTACAATTGAGAAGAAGTAAGGTAAGAGTAAATAAGGTCTTGGCTCATAAATAACAGTTTAATAATAGTATTCATACTACGCTCTTTATATGATAGCCTCCTCTCTCTCTCTCTCAAGAGGATAATACTGACTGGTGAAGGCAGAGCCTTGAGCCGCTGATGCACTCCAGATGTCCAGAAGAAGAAAGTCGGCAATGGCCAGTGGCACACCTCCAAGATATGGCACCAGGTGAGTGGACTCCATGCCACCTCCAACCTCTATAGCTCTACCCAACTCTCCACTCGTCTATTGCTAGGCTCCTCCTCTACTGTCCCTCGCAGTGTGGTGGCCCACAAATGAATGGAAGACTAGCTGCCTACTTACTACTGGGCCAGCCCAGTGACCAACCGACCAGACCTCCATCCTAGGCCGTTGGAACAGACGAGGATCCGATCGCCTGGAAGGAAAGTTGTGTCCTGCTGCATCCCCCACGCCCAAAAATGAGTGCCCTGGGTCCTTATTCACATCCAGACCCTACGTCACTGTCTCAGCAGCTGGGCCAAAATGTGAAAGAGTATACGCCAGAGGTCTGCACAGGGCAAACCTATGCCTGCTCGCAGAAATGCCTGAAAAACACAATCTAGACCAGGACAAAACGAACTGGCAAAGCAAACCCATACTGACACACACGTAATATGCAGCAATGGAAAACAAAGCAAACTGAGTAAAATTGAGCTGAGGACAGATGCAACACTCACTCTCCCTGAACTCAGAAATCGACAAAATTCGCCCTGAACTCAGAAATCGACAAAATTCGCCCTGAACTCAGAAATCGACAAAATTCGCCGTGAACTCAGAAATCGACAAAATTCTCACATGCCTGTTTGGGACTCAACTCTTCTAGGGATCTCATGATGGCTAAGGCGCTCTCGCCCAGTACAAGGCCACGAAAAAGGCCTGAGCAGTGAAATAGGAGCTAGCCTAGTAGGTTGACATGCCAGATTCTCACCCAGCAGATACCGGGATCGAACCTGACAGTTGCACTACTTCAAAAAACAAGAAAGGCCTGAGCAGATGAGGGGCCTCCCCAGGCGATGTCAGGGTCCCCTGGCCCAATGTGGGAGTCCGGAGCACGCCACTAACCCCGCTCCTCAAGAAGTTGAGCTGCTGCAAGGGTGAAGCTGACAATCTGAAGGGGCCACCCTCATCTTGGGTGGGTGCGAGGGTTGGGTCTTTCAGGCTGCACAACGTCGATGCTTGTAGTCTGCTAAGATATTTGGTATCGTGGCCTCACGGTCCTTCCAGGTAAGCCAATGATCAGCACGAGGTTGGCAATATGCAAAACGACCCTTCTAGTGCATGGGCTTGTTGTCATTGTGCTCATGTGGGCGGGGGGGGGGAGGGGAGGGGGGACACCCCCTCTCCCCCCACACACAGGGGAGGTTTCGATCTGGAGGGAGCACCCTCATCTTGGGTGGAGGTTTGAAATCTCCAGAACCTCCGAAAAACCATCCATAGCAGTAGCCTCCTATGAACAGTGGCCCCGATAGCCAGATCGCTTAGAGGAGGGCAACACCGAATGAGCACAGATTTAGGGGGAGGTAGATCGCAACTGAAGGATTGTCAGGCTGATCCCTGGGAGCAGCCGAAATACAAAAAGATCCCTACACCAACTGGCCTTAGCTCAGTTGGTTCACCACTGAACTGTTGAAATACAGACCTGTGTTCGCACTCCACTGGGAACAGATGAGTGAAGTACTGCAATTGTCTAGGGCCGGTCAATTAAAATGAAGGCCGTAGCCCTCATAGAGGAGTTTCCAAGGCATATTCTGCTCCAAACTGGACACCTCTCCCATAACCCAAACACAGATCACCTGTAAAAAAAAAAAACAAAAAAAAACGATAAGGGCAAGGTAATCAATGGCGGTTTGTCTGCTGCTGCATGGGAAGTTGCACACTTTTTTTCTGGGGAGGGGCAAAATGCTCCAATCTATTCATGGGGAGCAGCATGTGCTGGGAACCGGGCCCAACGTCCCATATGAGAATTTTACAGAGCAATTTGAAGTACCGGGGCCATTAGCTGGCTTCAGCTGAGGAAAACAGATCTTAGGAATTACACTGCAAGGACCATAACCTGGCGTCATCTGAGACAAACAGATCAAACAACTGAACTATGCTGAGAATCATGGGAGCACAACTGCACCAAGCATAATGGCTGCCTACACCCCTAACCAACTCCAACTCCCTCCAGAGCCAAAAGGAACGGGAGAGGAAAACAACCACAACCACTTCTGCCCGAATCCGCCGTGAAGGAAGACTAGCCCCTTGCCACTATCTGCCTCCACCTAAGGACGACATAGCCCATCAACCCCGGCCTCAGAATAGTACAACCCTCAGTTACTGCTCTTACCCCCCCCCCCCCCCAAGATGCAGCAGTTCCCTCCAAGATGTTACACCCGCAGATAGGATTCCTCGCCAATCCGACAGCCAAACGAACAATACTAGATATGGAGATTGCAGTGCACAACCACTGTGGTCAACCCCTTCCCACCAGAGGAAAACCATTCCCCTGCCCTTAAACTGGCCCTGCCGAGAGAAGCCCCCCTTCTCCTCATTGGCCCCAGTTCCTGGCAGGCCCCCTAAGCGGTCACCCCTGCTCCCTCAAGAGCCTGTAGCTCCCTCCAAAAGTACGCCACCGCAAAGCAGTGGTCTCGTCTTCCCTCCATCCCACCCTCTCCAAATGCAATAGCCCACTTAACACCTCTCCCCACTGAAAAACAGCGCCCCTTGTCTCTTCTGCCCATGCCAGGGCAATCCTACCCCATAGACCAACCCCAGCCCCATAGAGAAAACCCTCGTATCCGACCCTACCCCCTCAAGGTTTTACCCACACCTCCCAACTTGTGTGGTCCTCGTAGAATGGGACTCCCATCCTCCGGGCTTAAGAGCCCCACCCTCAAGAAAGCATTCCCGCAAAGTCATACATCCACAAAAAACCCTCGTCCAGCAAATTGAAAAGATCCAAAAACTCATGTACAGCCAAGACCCAAACTATTGATGACGTAATTGAAGCAGGAACAGTCCGAACAACAACATAATTGACAAAATTGCATGCCAAAAATTCCGCTCAGATCAAACTGATGACCACTCCCCCCACCAACTGTAGGGACCCAGGAGTTACTAGTTGGGAATTAGGAATTAAGAAATCCCTTTAGGGACTCAGTTATTAGTAGTTTGGAATTAAGAATTAGGGATTTCCGTTCTCGAATATCCAAATTCAGAAACTGTTGGATCAGGCCCTAATGCGAGTGACTCGCTACCTGAGTTAGGGGAGGCCTCTGCCGAACGCCCCCTACTGCCAGCGACACGACAGGTTTGAGCCGTTGTGGAGCGGAGCGCCGCAATCTGGTCGAATCAGCCAGTGCGCGCGTTGGTGACGACGCGAGGAACGCGGGTTGGGAAGAGGGCATGACCTAAGCAGACAGAACCAGCGGCTGGGTTGACGTCAACCATAGCTGGGGGGGGTGTTCAATCGGATTGGTGGGGAGAACGCCGCCTAGCGCCGGCGACGCGACAGGTTTGCGCCATTGTGGCGCGGAGCGCCACCATCTGGTCGAATCAGCCAGTGCGCGCGTCGATGACGACACGAGGAATGCAGGTTGGGAAGAGGGCATGACCTAAGCAGACAGAACTGGCGGCTGGGTTGACATCAACCATAGCTGGGGGGTGTGTTTGACCGGTGGTGCAGGTGCTGGGCATGGTGAGAAGAGGGTGCGACTAGATGGAAACCGTGGTGCCGTATTCTTGTGAGGCTCGCGATTGGAAGGTGGGAGGCCGTGACAGCGGATTGTTACTACAAATCTGCGGAGGATGGCGTTCGAAGCTTCGGACAGCGGCAGTGAGCAGGGGAAGGGAAGGCGAGTGGTGGTCCCCATCTTCTCACAGGGCCACGAGACTAAAGACTGGTCTCGGTCGAGAAGACTGGCCCGCACAGCCATAACTCTTCTGAGTGACGACAACGATTGATTTGCAGGTAAGCGTACATGAAGCAGGGGGAGTGTAAAGTAAATATTGGCATGGGAAAGGGGGAGAGAAAGTGAGGATAAGCAATCGACCATCAATCGACCAAGGTAAAGAAAGACGACAAGCAGAGAGTACGGGTGAGGTCGACCAAGGAGGCGATGAATGGATGAGAAGAGTTGGGGGAACGTAAAGGAAACACCGACATGGGAAGACGGGAGAGAAGGTCAGGGTAAGGAAAGGGACATGTAGGAGGTAAGAGAGAGGTCAACGAACCGCAAAGAAGGGGAGGATGGGCAGGAAGATTTGAGGACTGGAATTTTGGAAAATTGACAAACCAAAGCGCTGAACAGTTGGGGGGGGGCGACCTCAAAGGGAAGTGAGAGAGGGGGGGCCAGTAAGGAGGAAGCGACACATGCATGCAGAACAGAGGGAGGTGATAGGAGTGGCAAAAAGAGAGGGAGACAACCCTGAGGAGGGGGAAGATAGAAGGGGTAGTAAGGGAAGAAGGAAACAAAAAGAGCACGTAGGGCCACCTCAAGGACAAGGAGCAAATTGAAGGGCTGCACGAATTGTGCTGAGGGGGAGTGAGAGTAGTTCGGAGGGGAAGAGGGAGGTGGAAAAGGGAGAAGGGAAGAGTAAGCCTGAGAGAAAGGCAACGATGAGGAACTAATACATGATTGTAGAGCCAACTTGAGGGCCCGAAAGAACTGAAGAATTGGAAAAGAAGTGAAAGAAGGGATTGGAATGTGCGGAGTAGGAAAACCAGAAATGTAATGACCCGTCATAACACAGACTGAGAACACTGCTGATTTCTGAAGTTCTGCCGATGGAATGGATGCCTTGATGAGATTCCCGCGTTCTGCTGTGTTTTCTAAGTCTGTGTGTGTGTGTGTGTGTGCTTGTAACCTGCATGCCTGTCTGAATGCTTGTTGGTACGAGTGTGTGTGGGACCCGCAAGGGCACTTGCTTGTTTGGTAGGCCCGTAGGGCCGGTACTTACCTGTGGCCGTGGCATTGAGGGTTGTAGCAGGGAAAACACTCAAGTGGCGAAGCTAGCGGCCCTGAGGCCCTTGGGGTAGCGGAAAAACACTAAAGTAGGCCGGTAGGCCGATACTGCACCCCACTGCAGTTGACGTGAGGGGTACTGGAGGCCGAGCAGAAAAAGACGAAGTTGGCATTTTTAGAGTCCAGTAGCGGTAGGGTAGGTCTAGGCCGGTACCAGTCCAACCAGTCTGAGTCTAGAGCCTGTACGGGTAATATCAGGGTCTGCAATGATGTTTCCCTCCGAAACGGAGGAGGTACCGGTTGCTTGRAGAGGCCGAGCGGCCTGGAAGTCACCGCCCAAGAGGCAAGYAGGCCGCTATATCTAGAGGCGGAGGCAAGWGCTCTGCCTCATTCTTCAGTGTRCGAGTCGGGCRTCACGCTGCTGGAGCGCTAGGTGGTGAAGCGCTGGGCACTACAGCGCTGCTGGGAGGAAGAAGCCGGGAGCTTCCACCTTGGCTATGGTGGAGCTCAGCCGGTAGGAGGAGGAGGGAGAAGGGGACCAAGGAGGAGAGTGGTAGGGTACTTACCTGGCTATGGTAGACACCATCTTCATCTCCTTGCTAGGCGCTGCATCAGGAAGGCCCCAGTGGGGGTAGTGCCGCATCAAGGAAGCTCGGACAGAGTCAGGCATGGCGGTTGAGTGGGCAGCGGCATAGCTGCGGGGKGATGACCTTGAAGTGGGGCAGCGGTATAGCTGCTTGGGGTTGTCTTTGGTACCGGAGGCTGAAGCCTCGGTTGTCCGCCATAGCCTCGGCCTGTATGTGGAGGAAGAAGAAGGGCTGSCATGGCYATGGTGGAYCTCATCTTATGCCTGCAGTAGAAGTGGGATTCGGACRTTGATTCTGGTTCAGCTGTTCAACATTATTATTGKTTACTTATTGTTTGAATAAGAGAGGAGGAGATAAAGAGGAGGAGGTTGTTGAGCGAAGAAGAAGAGCTTTGTCTTTGGTCTATGCTGGAGTACATCATCTCTTTCTTCTTTCTTACTTCTTCTTCTTCTTCTTTCCCTCTCTCTCCTCTCAAGTTCTTTCATTTCTTTTGCAATTGGACGGCATTGGGCTCAAGTTCATTCATTTCTTTTCGCAATTGGACAACATTGTACTTTCTGATGATTGTGGACTTCAAAATTGGCCAGGATCGTAACAGAAACAAAAAAGAACGAATGATAAGAAAAGCTAATCTGGTCATCGACCGACTTTTAGTGTACGTGGAATAGGTTTCATCTACTGAACGGGCTGTGTGGAGGCAGACACTGCTCTGGTAACTGGTCGATTAAGCCTGGATGGCTACGGGGCGAGGTCCTTGTGAATGTTAACTTTGGGC